CAAAGAAAAGGAGATGGAGATGTAAGAAAACAGAGAAGACTGAATGACTCAATGGCACTAATAAACACTATCGATTAGTTTCATTAATCATTTTATTAATCTTCGGAAGTAGGAGAGAGAGACATTCCGGGATTTTAAACTTGTTTTTATTGTTTAAGTATTAAAAGATATAAAAAAAATGGATGAAAGCATCACTGTCCCTATTTCCTATTTTAATTTTGATGTATTTATTTTTTATCTAAGAGCTGGAAATGTCCCCAGATTGGATTTCAGATATCTGGTCACCATAATGTGGTCGCCATCGGGTTCATGGCTTGCTTTAGGCTACTCAACAGTGAAAAACATGAAAGATCACAGATAATCAAAAAACTAAATTGTTTAGTTTGAATCTCTTTCCTTTACTTTGCCACACTTGTAACCTCAGTTCTTTGTTCAGAAATCTGAGTTGTCTCCAAATATCTGCGAGGGATGTGCTTATTTGATTCTCTGTTTCTGTATGAACAGTGAAATAAATAGAAATGCAAAGTTAGGTGTCTGATTTTTAGTAAAATATGTTCATGCCAGAATTCCTCAACAGTTCATCATCCGGTACTCTGTCTAACCTCATTGTTTTGTATCAGTACTAGAACTGATTATTATCACGACAACTTGATTGACACCTTTAAAAATATTGACATTCTAACTATAGAATGGATTTCACTTGGACTTTATTTTTCTACTTTCTGTAGGTCCATCTCCAAGTTTCCTAGTAAAATACATGAATGTTTGTTGATGTAACATAGAAACCTGGAGAAACATAAGGATATCAGCCCTGTAGTAAGGCACTGTCCTGTTGGCTTGTTGCCTGTCTAAACTTCTGTCCAGTCGCTTACATGAAGGTGAACTCTCTACCAGCAGTGCTTTGTCTCAATTATCTAATTTTATCTTCTCCTGTTTTTTGTCTCTACCACAGTTTTTGGGCTTCTCATCATAATGAGATCACTGGCTCTGGGTCTCTTCTGCCTGTTTTGCTGTAATGCTGTGGAGCCAGAGAGACGTCGGCCCAAACTCATTACAGCCAAAGGACAAAATAACACCACAGTCCAAAACAATACGATGGGTAGGTTACCTTGTTGTTAAAAAGCATGAAGTCCTGTAATGCCTAGGAAGTATATGTCATTTATGATTTGACAATGCTTCATGTTTTGGTGTATATAGGTTCATAACATTTACAACCAGCTTCTATCTAAGTTACCCTCCATGCTGCTTTTTTCTTCATGATTAAACTGCATACACTTTTATTCACAACCAGCAGTTCCTCTGTAGAAGAGGTGATCTCACACACAATTTCCTAACATTTTACAGTTTTCCCGAATGCTTAAACCCTAACGGTGATGTTATAGCACAATTTCTAAAACTTTTAACACTTATAGCAAAACCACTCACTGAGTTTACAAAACTCAGTTCACTCCTTTTGCAGAACTGTAAACTGAACTAACTGCTTTATACTCAATTTTTAAATGATCAACACACTCCTAGCAAAACTATACACATATACGGCTATTATTAACACTATTATGCCAACTGTCTGACACACTGTCACATGTGAAAACTGTTTTAGATAGTTAGTGCACTTTGCAATCAGTCTAAACACTATAAATAAGCCATAGAATGGCTGTCTATGTGGAGCACAATGGAGGGAGCAAGAAGAGTGAGAATTAGAGGAGACAGAGGAAGAGGAGGTGGAGGTGAAGAAGTAAGAGGAAGAGCAGACCAGATACGTCATCATATGGGAAAATGTTAGTTTCCATAGGGCTGCTTTGGTCCGCAACCAGATCACCCACTCTTCACTGCACTCAACCTCCCCCCATACTCTCTATTCTTGAATCCGACTGAAGAATTCTTCTCTCCCTGGTGCTGGAAGGTCTATGACCGTCATCCCCATCAACTCACAGCCCTTTTACAAGCAATCCAGTAGGCATGTGGGGATATGGACCAGGCATCATGTCAGGCCTGGATATGACATTCCAGGAGATATTTTTCCTGTACCTTGGACAAGAGGACATTGCATGTGTTGTGGATGAAGTCTTGTGGCCGGACCAAGAGAAACGACATGATGTGTTTTGACTTGGAAAAAAAACTTTTTTGTCTGTTTTGATGTGTGGAAATAAACACCAATACTTGGCCTTTGGATCCTTGTATGTTTTGGGTCCCTGTCTTGTGCACAGAGAAAGCAAAATACAAGCCAGATGTGTTTTTTATTTTTACCATCAGTGTGTAGTTCACACATTGTGTTCTTATTACTATGATGATTTGTGTTAATTGCAAGGTTTATTAGCTTTTGCAAGAGAACTACAATGAACCCCATTCGGCCTCTGCAAATGGCTGCTTACACTGAGCCTGGTTTTGCTGGAAGTTTTCTTCCTGTTAAAGGGTAGTTTTTCCTCTCCACTGTCGCAACAAGCATGCTTGGTGTGAGGGATTGTATTTGAGTCAATGAGTCGATACAATCACTGGTTTTCTTTAGATAGAAAACTTTGAATCATTTTTACTGTATGATCCGATGAACTGTGAAGTGCCCTGAGATGACATGTGTTGTGAATTGGTGCTATATAAAAAAACTGAATTTAATTTAATTTGTAAATAGAGTTTTGCAAAAATAACCAATAGTTACAAAAATTGTGCTTAAGCGATCAGAAGAAACTGTTATTGTTTATATAGGATTTTAACCTAAAACCAACTAAAATAATATATCAAAGTTATTTATTACCATCAGTTGCACATATCGCACCCAGCATACGGCTCAGCTCCTGATCTTGCTCGTTCATAGCCTTATTGAGGGTGTCAACCGCTGCCGGCAGACTGATCAATGCCCAAATTGCCGCTGACATCCTCTGTAATTAAAGATACATCAGGTATCCTCCAAATCCAAACAGGAGAAAAAAATCGAGTATCATAAAACCAGAAATCCACACATCTTGGATATCCTCCAATGACAACGTTGTGAAACACACCATCCTCAAAGCTTTCCAGGAGTCCATGGTGTATCCCACTAAGTATGTCCCGGCAGGACAGGATGGGTCCCCTTTCCCCTGTCTTGCAGTTGAATAAATTTGATAAATTGCAGTGACAGACCAGCTGACCAGATCCATTTTTTTTTTAGTTTAGGTGCTATGAAGAGAGAGCTCAGAAAAGACAGGACACATCAAAGCAGGGACAGGCAGGGAGGTGCAGGAGCACAGGAAAATGCAACCGCCTCCTTCAAGAGTCACAACAAAAGGGATAGATAGATAAGTAGCACATCTATCTAATAAGATTGGCACAAATTATC